CTTTTGGACTGAGGCTGAACTGAGCCAAACCACAAAGCTGCTGCCAGGGTGGAGAGTAGTTGTAGCTCCGGTTTAAAACGCACACGGTTCTGTGCCTCCATGGAAAACTTGTGCGTGACAACTTGACACTTAGCTTCAACTCTGTTTCTGATGAAAATAGAAAGTTCTGCCGACATTCTTGCTAACTTGTTAGCGCAGCATGTTGTTGTGATCACGTGAGCGCTTCATGCTGGATCCAAGCACTGCTGTATAGAAACACTGGAGCGGAGTCAGTGAACTGCTGGAACGGACTGCTAATATCAGAGCGCTTATATCGGAGCGCTTATATCGGACATTTTTTATGCAGGCCGATAAAATCCAATACTCATTTTTTGGCTGGTATTGGACCGATATCAGATATCAATATCAGATCAGGACACCCCTAGTTTAGAGACCAAGTTAATGAGGCTGAGAAGGTTTGGACATGTTCAGAGGACACACTGGACATATGAACCTGTCAGGAAGGAGAAGAGGATTCATGGTTTAAACAGTGGGACAGAGGAGGATGCTGAGGCACATGATCTGTTGCAGCTGAAAGAAGAAGAAGAAGAAGAAGAAGAAGAAGAAGAAGAAGAGTCCTATCTGTGATGAAGGGAGTGGTGAGGCAGGAGCGTGTATCTTTCTTATCAGTACTTCTACACCTTCTGTCCCTCTGCAGCACACAGCCTGCAAATCAACTGTTTACAGTCACATGCACCAAAAGCACAAGGAACAAAGAAATACTAAAAAATAGGTTTATGAAAACCCTGGCACAGACAGTAAATGAATGTAAGAAAGGAGGGTTTAAAGTTAAAAAGWAAAGGTTTACCTGGGCATGAGGAGGTGAACATGGGTAAAGCATGGCAGTCGTGGTGCCTCCTGCGGTATCTGTGAATAAACTCTGTCTGAGTCTCCAAGATACTGAAGCCTGCTGCCAGCGTGGTGTCAAACACAAACTGTACACCTGCAGGGAACAACACACAGGTGGTGTCAAACACAAACTGTACACCTGCAGGGAACA